GGACGATTTATCTTTTGCCTCAAAATAAACTCTCCATTCGAAAAAAATTTCTCACCGGTGAGCATTTTTTGAGGTCTGCGAAGAGCCAGTAGTCGCTGGGAGCCACATCTGGCGAATACTGTGGATGTGGGAGCAATTCGAAGTTCAATTCATGTGTTGTTGCCTTTGTTTTAACTGACTTGTGACACGGTGCTTTGTTTTGGTGGAACAAAATTGTTTTCTTTGACATATACGGTCGTTTCTATGCAATTTCAGCCTTCAATAACGTTATATAATATCCACTGTTGATGGAATTTTCCTTCTCAAGATAGTCGATGAATATTACACAAGGCACATCCCAAAATACTGAGGCCATAACCTTTCCAGCCGATTATGGTGCTTTCGGGCACTTTGAAAGAGGCTCACCCCATTTGCTCTCCACTCAGATGATGTTCGTTTTGATTCCGGAGTGAAGTGATGAATCCGTGTGCCATTCATTGTCACATATTGACGTAAAACTTCCGGTTTGTTATGTTTGAACATTGCCAAACACTGCTCAGAATCATCAAGACGTTCTTGATTTTGGCCAACCATTGAGCTCGCGCGGCACCCACTTTGAACAGAGCTTTCTAATAGTCAAATGGTCATGCAATATAAAGACAATACATTCTTTTTATATCTTCACAATGTCAGCTAACTCAAGTAATATCACTTTTTGATCATTCAAAATAATGTTGTGGATTGTTTGAAATGTTTTCTGGTGTTACTGTCTTATTTGGTCGTCCAGTGCGTTCTGCATCATTGTTGCCTATACGACCATGTTTGAAGTCAGCAAACTAACGTCTAATTGTTGTTTCTGATGGAGCGGACTCCTTAAAACACTTTTCAAGCCATTACTTCGCTCGAACGGTATTTTTTCCCATCAAGAAGCAGTGTGAAATTGAAACACAAAATTGTTTTTGATCCATTGTTTTGAAAATAACAGAAGTAGTGTCACTCTTAACACAATAACTCACAAACTTATGAGTAGAATATCATGAAATTTCAACAGCTTTCTTTTAAATGTTGATACTAACTGACAAGGCGGTGAATGCAATAAGACTAGCGTCATCTATGTGTTAGGCTCGAGAATTTTCCAGCCCATGTAGAAATTTGATCTTGACATCATATCTTATAATTTGTGTAATATGATGAATTGATGAATTTGTGTTAATTCAAAACACATTTTCTTCTTTTCAAAGATTGTTAATGGAAGCTGGTTTTTGAAAATATTATTACTATTTCAATAACTTATTGAACTGCCAATATGTGTAAGTAGTTTAGTTCTAGTAAAATTTTAAAGAAACCATTGAAGATGAAATTTTGTATAATTAGTCTGGATAACAATGCATGGTTAGCTAAGAAACGTCAGTCTACATTTAATATGGCAGACCGTTCAAGATGGTGAACTATTTTTTTATGCATCTCCACGAATCAATCAAATGAAATAGTGCTGAAAAAAATATGAAAAATAAAATGATGTCTCTATGAACTAATATGGCGGACTGATAATGTTGGTAGTATATGTTTGTTATGCACCTCCATGATATAGATATCAAACGAAAAGCTTCAGAAGAAAAAAAAAACAAAATAATGGAAAACAAGTTAGCCGCCATACTAATTTTGAAGTTGTAACTCTGCAAAGGATAGGTTAGTTTGACAGTGATCTACTAAATGTTGTAGGGATTGACTATGCAACAATAGCACATTTAATAAAATGAACGAACTAAGGAACAAATCCAGTGATAACTTCATAATATATTATCAGTGAAAAAAACACTCTCGAAAACAAGCTTGTATTTATCTGCTCTAAAAAAATAAACGTTAAGTTGAATCACATCCAACAATTCATGACATTACACAAATTCAAAAAAATAAATCAGATGTTATATTCAGTGACGGATTCAGAAAATCATTTTGAGGGAGCCAGCTCACAACTCAGAGTATGGAGTGTATGCTTCTTTTCTACCAAAGCTTCAAGTCTTGCAGCGGAATCATGAAAAAAATTTGCCAGGGAAAATATAACTCTCATGGCATTTCTGATGCTATAGCAACAGAACAAGCTTTGCTTATAGACAAGTTTAGCCTATGGTTGACACAGTGGCTGTAGATTGCAAGAGGCTGAATCTGAGAAATGCGAGCTTGTACACTCTTGAATATTCCATTAATATTGGCAATAAGCCAAATCAAGGCCAAGTTTATATCTGACTTTTGTAAAATTGTGTGAGCTAAGTTTTCACCACTGAGATCCACCACATCCACAAACTTGATGAAATCTTCTTCAATATTATATTCTTTGGTGTTGAAATATCTTATGCGAATTGTAAGTTGTTTTTAAACAGAAAAATCTGTGGTCTCATCTATCATTATTGTTAAAGACTCTCAGACTCTTTTATTTTATCAGTGTCAATTTCATTCTGCGTGGTTTTGCCGATATAACTGGCATTCCTTCTACAATTCATTATGAGTTATTACCAGCGTCAACTCTGAATTTTAGCAGTGCTCTGAAATTGTCTTCGCCGAAACATACCCCTTAAGGGTATTACCGTTTTAATAATTGGAATTACCTTTCTACGGTTCTCTTCAATTGTTTTTTTTTTCTGCTGCATTTTGCTGGCTACTACATTGTTTGCTTCACCCTCATGAGTCATAAAAAAGTAGTGATAAAGCGGAGTAAGTCAAATTATGAATTTAATTAATATTCTGTAACTCGTTAAAATAATTAAGCTTTATTTATATATTAAGTGTTATCACTCTATATCGGCCTGACTTTTCTTTCCCAATCATAAAATTTATTTCACCAAATTATATCTGGTATACTATCAATCCTCCTTATAACATTATGGATAAAAAAAACTATGAATATTTTTTCTATTTATCAGCTGGAAAAGACTTAGAATTGGGTTATAAACTGGTAGACTGTCTTCAAAAAGCAATGATTCTTGGGATTCCATCCATGAATTACCAGACCCACCAACCCTTGACCATTACAAAAAACAACCAGCATTGGACATTAGATATTGGACTTACCAGGTAAACTTCATATTGNTGAAAAAACTATTTTGTTGAATTGAAAGTTACTAGATGGCATTTCAGTAACTCCTGTTCACAAGTATATTCTCACTACAAACTATCTCAATCAGTAGTTGAATTCAAACACAAATTATACCAATAAACGTTTGATATCCATTAAAATATTCAATCGTTATCTGTTGCAGATGATGGAAATCAAAAATTGAATATATGAGCTGAAAGCTAATTGGCCATCTTCTAAACCAAGTAGCAACATTTGAAAATGAGTAACAGTAGAATACCTTGAAGGGCACCGAACATCAGTAGAAGTTAGTCACAGTTTTTTTTTAAGAAAAACTAGAACAAAATGAAAATTTCAGTGAAGTCACATATATCCAGTATCTACACTGAAAGTTTAATTTTACATAAAAAAAATATTCAAAATTCAAACATGTTGTACTCCAGTGTCATTCGTAAAGTATATTTCTCTGACGTGTTTATTTCACTAGTCCATTTCTTGGAAGTTTCCGAAAAAGACTGCAGCCTTATGTATTTTTCTTTCCATCTTGATTTGTTCAAGAACTTTATTGGAGTGTATGAACTAACAAGTCCATTGAATGTTGTCTCATATATTTCTGGATATAATTTGGGTTGTTATGTATACCACTCATCGGGTTTTTGTAGGCTATGATTTCTGAGTGGCTCACAAGTTTGCCAATCCTTACCGAAAACAAATTAATATTTCATTAGGAATTCAAATGTCTTTTTGTGGTCTCTCGATGTTGTGGAGTTTGAGCAAATATGTGTTATTTATATCAAAAAGTATTTAGGGGACTTATAAAGATACCAGAACAAGACATACATATTAAAATTGAAATATACAAAGCAGTTCTGTTAGAAAAAAAAATAAATTATGTAATATAACAATCGTTAAAAAATAATACCTAAACGTTTCGAACACTTTACAAAAAATCAACATTGATGAGTACTTACATTTAGGGCGGCTTTCCGAGTTGAAGGGTGAAGTGAATAATTTCGACATGAAATATAAATACGTACACAGGTTCCTGAAAGACGTTTACACAGACACGAAGGGATTAAAAATCTGAACTGTCTGTAAATCGTTCTTTATAATTCAACTTCAGGAAAAATACCAGTGGATATAGGAGTGGATTTAATCATAGCATATTTAGGTTATATCTTGAAAATCATGCAAAAAGTGGTACGNATTTTTTTTGGAACAACTTTTACAATTGCTTTCTTCCATACCGTGGGAAAAATATTATTTTTCAGACAAAAATTCACAATATGTGTTACATATGGAATTATATACTTACTTCGACAATATCAAACTTGTCGAAAAATGTTCAAATTCTGAGCCTGAAACACATCATTGGTGAATATTACAGGTTCTAAAAACGTGTCAACAGATTGGAATTTCTACGAGAATCATCAACCGACTGCTTTTTCCAAATACAATTCTCATTTCTTTCATGGGCTTTTTTTTGAATTATAAAGAACGATTTACAGACAGTTCAGATTGTTAATCCCTTTGTGTCTGTGTCAACGTCTTTCAGGAACCTGTGTACGTATTTATATTTTATGTCGAAATTATTTTCACCCTTCAACTCGGAAAGCCGCCCTTAATGTAAGTACTCATCAATGTTGTTTTTTGTAAAGTGTTCAGAACGTTTATGATTTTTTAACGATTGTTATATTACATAATCTATTCTGTTTCTAACAGAACTGCTTTGTAAATTACCATTTTAATATGTATGTCTTGTTCTTATACTTCAGAGTCCTGAAGATGAAACAATAAAGTTTGGAAACGTCGACAATTCAGAAATTAATTTTCTTCAACATTTTGACCGAATTCCCGCCAACTTGACAATCAAAATCATATTCAACGGTCGCCATCCTATTCAAATTATTTATTACTTCTGCTACTATTATTACTATATTTTTTTCAGTATTACTATGGATAACACAGACTGGCGGGGTAGAGTTAATTTCACGAAGCCAGGTTTCAATTTGACTGAACAAATAAATGATCTCACTGTGTACTGGACTGCTGATCAAGTTGGTGTAAGTAAATTCAAACATCATCAATTTATTTTGAGATATATCGAATACAGTGAGATGTAGTGAACATTGTATGTGCACTTGTCAGTTTGAAAACAGGATTATTTCAGAGATACAGCTGAGTTTATTTTTCATGTACAGATCACTATTATTACTCTCCACATCTAAAACAACCGAAATAGTAACGTTCCAAGAATAATGCTGATTTTCTAGTGAAAAAAGAATATTGTTTACTGAAATTCAAGCATACGACCAATCTAGAAATTATATTATTTTCTTGATCATATTATATAGAAAGTAGCTGGTTGTCATTTCCATACACCTGATTTTGAAATTGTTTACTCGTACTCCATATCTCATCAACATAAGTAGTAATAGGAAATTAAATAATGGGTGATCTAGGTATAGATAAGCTATGAAGTGGTTTCTACTTCTTTCTGGAGAACAGAGAACTACGAAAAGAAATTTTTATTTGTAAATGTTTTACAAACAAAATGTTCAATGTTACAGGAACGGTCGAAGGTGTACATTTTTTGGCCAATAATATTGGAAAACTGTTTCGAGCCGCCACTAGAATGTACAGTTTATAACCAAGAAAAGCTGAATGCACCTCTTATCACTGAAAATAACATTGCCAAATTTCTCGAAAATCGGATAAGGATTCTAAAAAATATATTTTTTTTAGAAAAGTTCAACACCCTGTTTCTGAAAAATAATGCATTTTCGGATCTATGATCTCCTAAAATTTGCTAATGAACACGCCCTTACACTTTTTCACAGCAATTAGGAAACACCCGGTATATTTGTTGGGAAAATATCAGCTTTATTGAAATTGCAGATGTCTGGTGACTCTGGAATGTTGTGAAGGGCATTCCTTGCTAGATTATTTAATGAAAAATATCCGTTTGATTTATTTTATGGCATGTTGAATAAAACTCATAATTAATCATGAGACTCTACACTCGACTATACCAAAATTCTATTATAGTAGGCACTAAATTCTGCGAAATATTATGGCATTGAAACGAAAACATTGTTGTCAGGTTGTGATTCTATATATTTTATAATAATAATAATATTTATGTTGTTACTTCAGTAACGTTAGTTACAAATAAAAGTGATAAAAAACATAGAAAGTGATAATAATAATATGCTTATTTTCTCACACATTGATATAAAATACATGGACTGCTATCGAAAATCAACAAGATAATCACAGAAGCCATAGAAATGTATAGCTTGTTCGTGATGAGACTATGTTGTGAACTAAGAGTATAAATACTATTACTTTACATTTCATTAAAAAATAGTGAGTTATCAATCAATTAATAAATAAACCTAATAATAACAGAAACAGTGGTTACAGACAGAATACATAGTTATTTTCATCTACTCAATAATTGCTTAAGTCAAATTGCTGTTTGGAATAGTTTGATCAATGAAGTCAGAAAAAAAAACCATTTCTATCGGTATTCAGAATAAATTTCTTTACTTCTCTTTTGTAAATAGAAGAACTGTTGATATTTTTAATTTCTCCTGGTAATATTTGGTATAAGCGTGGTCTGCGATATGCTGCGTTTCTTTGTTCTATATTTTTGTCACATCGTTCCATATTGGGTAATATACTGCAATATGATGTGAAAGGTAAATATTTGATCTCAATAAAATCTTTTTCTGTAGAAACTTTCAGTTGGTTCCATGAAAAGTCGGTATACAAGACAGCCGTATCGTCAGCAAAGTTCAAAATTTTACCTTTTGTTGGTATCTGTAGCAGCTCATTTAGATATATTGTGAATATAATTGGTCCTAGAACCGTTCCTTGCGGAACACCCTAAGTATCAGTTATGGGATAACTCATAATTTCATCGATACTGACTCTCTGTTTTCGGTCACATAAATAGCTTATGTCATAAGGTTTCCCGCGTATTCCACAGTTCTCTAATTTTCTCAGGGGTTTTGTATGACTGACGGTATCAAAAGCTTTGGAAATATCAACGAAGATGCACATCGTTGATATGTTTTTGTCAAAAGCTTCATAAATGAAAGTTGTTAGATTTTGTATTGCATCTTCTGTTGATCTTTCCTCTCTGAATCCGTATTGCTGAGCAGATATTAATTTGAACTTCCCAGTAAAATTCACTAATCTTATTTTTAGAATTTTCTCTTTCACTCTATCTATAGAATCATATATAGAATCACAACCTGACAACATTGTTTTCGTTTCAATGTAATAATACTTCGTGTTACCCCGTGTTATGAACCACACGTTAAAAGGTAAGACCTCGTTAATCCTTAGCTCGCACAAGTTTCGACTTCTGAGGGTTGTCGTTCTTAGGGGTGCGACAGCTGGTTAATGAAAAAACAGATTTTAAACAGATTTTTCCTGAGAATGTAGTGCCTACTATTATGGAATTTTAGTATAGTGTTATCTAGTGTTTTGAAGGATTCAGGACAATAAGCAGGTATATGCATACTGATGAATGTTTCTCACAGTAACGTGACACGTAGCGTGTGTCGTTAGTTAACTCCAATCACGTTGTGGTTTACGAGTTGATTGGTAATTTGTAACTTTGAAAACACTTTACAGCATCAAATGTAACAACCAACAACAACCTTTGTTTTATCTTGTAAAGAAGTACATTTCAAGAATGTTTCAGCCTTTATAAATTAGAATAACGTTTTTAGGAACCTATGTGATCATAACATCAATACAAATCTTGCACTTGTATGAAATGTCATTATTATATGTGTTCTTTCGTTTTCAGTTCAGCTTCACTGGATTAGGAGATATGATAGAAGAATCCCTTTCATCGACTTTGGGGCTCATACTCAAAACTTTCCTGAACTCTGGGGCACTGGGAAACAAACTAGGGGTTTTTTTCCATAACAGGCTGAACACAAACTATTTTCAACAAAATGAGAAGATTGATGCTATCCTTGAATTTTGTCGAACTACTCCTTATCCAGGTGGTCTTAAACCGAAACCATAAATCTGATTGTGATTATCATTAACTTTACGATTATAAATGGAGTATGCTGTCATCGAAACTTTGGATATTGATATCGATCAAATCACCATTTGATGCTACGTTATTTTTGATTGATGAAACGATAGGATGAATGTATTGCAAAATATTTTTCAATTACTTAATCTTCACAGTATACTAGGGAACCGATACGGATTCGCCCAGATAGCGAACATGTATATTCTTAAATTTTTTTTCGACAGTGGCATGTCAACTTGGCCTTGAAAAATATTCTAGTTTCCACTCGAAAGGCGTGCTTTTGAAAATATACCATTTTTAAAAACAAGTAGATTCGTTTTTCGATGGCATTTCAGGACAGCTTCTGAAATTTCATGCCCGCTACTGACGATGCCCAATAGGCTGAAACAACTGTCTACCAGTGGCTCTTATATTGAAATTAGTTTTATGATTTTCATGGAAATTATTTTCATGGACTGCTATCGAAAATC